TACCATTAATGGTAGATACTTTGTTGTAACTAAGTTTTCCGGTGAATTTAGTTGTGTCAATGTCGCCAAGAGTTAATGTTCCCCCTACATCCTTACGACTTATATGAAAACCAAAATAAGGATTTTTTACGGCCTTTTGTTTAACCATTTTTGAAAAAGGTGATGTAGTATTGAAATTACTAACACTATCAAAACCCAAACCAAATACACCATCATATGGAGCAAAATTAAAAAATCCATTTTCAGAAAGTATAAGACCGAATATTTGGTCAGATTTTATCCCGCCTGCTAAAAGAATATCTTCTCCAAGAGTACCATTGACAGTTGTAGCACCGAAATGATTTATGAATTTATTACCGATTTTTCTAAATGTTTTCGATAAACTTGAGTTAAATTGATGGCGGCCACACTGACAAGGCGGTGAAGGAACCTAATGTTTAGAATAATATAGGTTAAAAAATATTTTTCATTGCTAAAATAATGTAATTATTAAAGAACAATTACTAACAAAAAGATCAGAACTTGTTAAGTCGAACCAAACGATAAATTTTTGACCACCTATAACGACCTGTCCAAAGTATTCTAATGAACCTGCTAAATTAATGCTTTTAGATCTTTTTTCAGCAGATGCAAGTTTATCAAGGGCATATTTATCAGAGCTACGGGTTAAATATTCGTATCTAAACGTAATATAATCTCTATCGAATTGAATAACCTCATTCAAAGAATGTTTAGGGGCATTTTTGATCAGAGTGATAGAATTGGGTTTTGAGGTAACAGGAATAACATTTATCATGGAGATGGCAATTAAAAGCCAAATAAAAACATAGAACTCCATTTTACGAGAATTATAAGGCAAAAAAAATTTCATGAATTAAAGGAATGTCAATAATACGAAATAAGAAGTCAAAAATATCTACCTACTGTATTTATGCTATTACAGTATTAAAAATTATAATTTTGTCACGTCGTCCGCTTTATAATCTGATTAGACAATTTTGATTCATGTGATTCGTTTTACTGACAATTAGTGTTTGATCCTAAATCTGACTATTTAAATCCAAATAAATTTAGATATTAAGATTAGAGATTTATATTCGGATTGGTTAAGGAAGATCATGAATAAGAAAACTGGATTATTCAATCTTCGATCTTGAGACATGTTCAACTGGTTACGTATTACTTCATAGAAAATCACTTTATAGTCATCTCATTTCATAGACAATCAATTCATAGACAAATTTGTTTTAAAGCCAATTAATTAGTTCATTTTATAGACAGTTCATTTTATCGACAGTTCATTTT